CCTCCGCGTCTTCAAGATGGCGATTATTTTCTGGACTGCTTGTGTTGCTGCTTCATGTGGTGAACATGGTAGGTGGACAGATCCGCTATTCTATTCCAGAGGAAATGAAGAGAGGCTCAGTCATCGGGAATGTAGCGCAGGATCTCGGTTTGGACCTGATGAGGCTGCGCTCCGGGCGGGCCCGCATCGTGAGCGGAGAATCCGTCCAGTACACGGACCTGAGAGCAGACAAAGGGATCCTGGTCGTGAATGAGAGGATCGACCGAGAGCAGCTCTGTGGAGACGTGACGCCGTGCAGCTTCAGCTTTGAGCTGATTTTAGAAAATCCTATCGAGCTGCACAGAATCACCGTCGAGGTTCTGGATATAAATGATCACTCACCCGTGTTTCCTAACAAAGATAAAGCCATCAGTTTAGAAATAAGCGAATCTGCTGCAACTGGAATACACTTTCCGCTGCAGACTGCGGAAGATTTGGATGTAGGCCAAAACGCTTTGAAAGAATACATTCTGTTCCCAAACGAAAATTTTATCCTGCAGCAAAATTCAAACCCCGATGGGAGTAAACAGGTTAAAATGGTTCTGCAGACACCTTTAGACCGCGAGCAGCATTCTCATTTAACGCTGAAATTGTTCGCAGTAGATGGAGGAACACCGCAGAGATCAGGGTCAGTCAATATAAATGTGACAGTTCTTGATGCAAATGATAACATCCCCGTGTTTAACCAAAGCGTTTATAAAACAGCTGTGGTGGAAAACACCGTGAAAGGCACAAGTATAATTTCTGTGAATGCCACAGACGCTGATAGTGGTTCGAATGGACTCATTACTTACAGTTTGTCTAAAATGAAAGGGAGTGCTGCAGATATTTTTAGAATTAATAAAGACTCCGGTGCAATATTTGTTTCTGGTGAAATAGATTTTGAAAGAGAGAGAAAATTTGAAGTCAGAGTAGAAGCAAAAGATCAGGGTGGATTAATAGGAACAAGTAAAGTTATAATCGATGCCCTGGATATGAACGATAACACTCCTGTTATAAATGTGATGTCATTCTCCAGTCCGTTATCTGAAGATGCGCCTCCTGGTACAACAGTCGCCATTTTGAACATAAAAGATGCAGATTCTGACAAAAATGGTCAAATTAAATGTTCTGTAGAAGGAAAGCTTCCTTTTAGAATCGAGTCATCTCTAACAAACTATTATAATTTAATCACAGATCAACATTTAGATAGAGAATCTGTCTCAGAATATAACATAACTATAACAGCCACAGATTTTGGATCTCCACCTCTGTCTACTTCAACACAGTTACACCTTAAAGTTTCTGATGTAAATGACAACGCGCCGTTGTTTGATAAAAGCAGCTACTCTGCTCACATCATGGAGAACAATCCACCTGGATTTAATATATTTGCTGTCAGCGCGCGAGACTCTGACTGGAATCAAAACGCGAGAATCTCCTATCTTTTAGAGGAAACACAGGTCGGTGGTAATCCAGTGTCCAGTTTTGTGTCTTTAAACTCTGAAACTGGAGTTCTGAGTGCTGTTCGCTCGTTTGATTATGAACAAATTAAAGAGATTCAGTTAGTAGTTAAAGCGCAGGATGGAGGCTCTCCTCCACTCAGCAGCAATGTGACTGTGAAAATCCTGATCCAGGACCAGAATGATAACCCTCCTCAAGTTCTGTTCCCAGTCCAGACCGGTGGCTCCGT